GGCCCCATGGCAGCAAGAGTTCTGCGGTGGAGCTTGCGTGTGCCAGGGAGGCCACGGACTAGGGTTATGAACAGCCGAGGGCTCCAGGCCACCGGAACCCTAGCCTTAAACGCGTTGAAGGCGCTCCCGCTCATTATCGATGCTCTTCTTCCACTCAGCCACGGGTTAATTGCACCACCAAGGACTTCGGTTTTATTTATTTTTTTCTTTCGTTGTTGTTCGCACATATATTAGGGCTGTCAAATAGCATGATCTCGTTCGTTAAGTAAACGAACCGAACACAAATAATTTTTGTGTTCAATCATGTTCGACTCGTTTTAACTATATATATATATATATAATACTATATAATTTAATATATTTCTTTCCTATACCTAACCAAAACCGAAATATACATGTATAAAAAAAAATCTTTCTTATTTCATTCATAACCGAAACATTATAATAATCTAAACCTAATTAATTTGTTAATTAATCAATTGATATATTAAATAATATCACTTAATTATTATCTCAAACCTTCTAAATTAGCCCAACCTAAATCTCATGATAACTCGATTAATTTAATTAGTTTATTACAACAAAGCCTTAACCCCAACTCTGCATGAATCATTTTTAGTGTCATATTTTCATTTAGTTCTAATAAATTAAGATTATTTTTCATACAATAAGCCCAAGTCTTTCTAGGTCTACCTCTGTCTTTCTTAATATAAGTCGAATCTAAAACATCTACTCTCCTAATCTGATCATCACATGGTCAATGATTAATGTGGCCAAACCATCTAAGACGACTTTCTCTAATTTTGTCCATCATAGGAGCTACACCAACCCTATCACGGATATATTCATTTCGCATTTTGCCTCTTAAGTGTAAAACCACTAATCCACCTAATCATTCTCATCTAGGAAACACTTAACTTAGTATTATGCTTCTCTTTTAAAGGTCAACATTCAACGCCATAGAACATTGCAGGTCTCACCACCATCTTATAAAAATTTCCTTTCAGTCTAAGCGGTAATTTTCTATCACACAGAAGGCCCAAAGCATTCCTCCTCTTCAACCAACCAACTTGAATTCTACTATTAACATCCCTATCTATATCACCATCATTTTGAACAACAGACCCGAGATATCTAAATCGTTTACACCTTTTAATGATTTGATCACCTAAAGTTACACTTCTGTCACTAGAGCTACTACTACTAAAATTACATTCCATGCATTCAATTTTAGTTTTACTCAAATGAAGGCCATTAGGCTCCAATGTAGACCTCCATAATTTAAGTTTTTCCTGAGCTTTTTCTCTCATCCACTTGAAGGATATCATTAGCAAAAAAAAATACACCAAGGTACATCCTCCAGTAAATGTCCAGTAAGACCATCCATAACTAAAGCAAAAAGATATGGGTTTAAAGACAATCCTTGATGAAAACCTACAGAATAGGAAAATATTTGGTCAATCCCACTTCTGTTCGGACACAAGTAACAACTCTAGTATATATATCTTTAATGACTTGAATATAAGTCATATCAACACTTTTCTTCTCAAGAACTCTCCAAAGGATATCTCTTGGAACCTTATCATAAGCTTTTTCTAAATCAATAAAAATCAAATGTATTATTATCTCTGAACATCTCCATCAAACCTCTCAATAAATGTATAGCTTTCATAGTAGACCTGCCTAGCATAAATCCAAATTGATTATGAGAAATTTTTGTAATACGTCTTAACTTATGTTCAATTACCCTCTCCCGTAATTTTGATCAACCAAATTCCTCTATAATTTGCACTCTCTCATGCATCCCCTTTATTTTTAAAAATGGGGACTAAAATACTTTTCCTCCACTCCTCAGGCATCTTTTTAGTTTTTAAAATAATATTAAAGAGTTTAGTAAGCCAGGAAACTCCCAAATTGCATAAATATTTCCATAGTTATTTCCATTGTTCAATTGGGATATCATCAAGTCCTACAGACTTTCCACCCTAGGTTTTTTTTAAAGTCTCCTCAACTTCTTTTTTATTAATATGACGGTAAAAATGAAACGTTTTATTATTATTAACAATATTAAGATCATTAAGGTCGATCGTATTTTTAAAATCTTCATTAAAAAGTTTATCAAAATACTCAGATAAACTTTTTAATGAATTTTTGAAAATACGATCGACCTTAGTGATCTTA